CCCCTGAAAAGTACAAAATCTATTTCAAATCAGTATACTTCTTTGCATCTTCACTGCCTCCAAAATAGACAAAGCTATCATTCTCTCTTGCCTAAATTATTACAATATACTTCTAAATAGTCTCCTTGATTTCTTCTTCTTTTTTAAAAACTTGCATGAGGGCACACGTGTTGGCTAGAGAGAGACAAAGAGAAAGGGAGAAAGCATTCCCACTGCAGACGGCCACCCAGTAATCCCTTTGTCCATTCTTTTCTCAGGATTTTGGGCATGCGGGCACATGAACCTGGAGTGTTTTTCAAGCTGTCGTGTCTGGGATGAGAACCATGCAGTCAGCCACATGGGGATCCAGTTGTCTTAACCATCATATAACCAGTTGTCCCGCTCCTTGGCCAAAGTGGGGCCAGTGGGTGATATGGTGGTTAAGGCGCTGGACTCCCACATGGCTGACTGCAATTTGAGTTCCAGCCCTGGCAGCTCGCTTTCTCACTTTTCCTCTCCCTCTCTGGTGAGTGCACATGCCAGATAACAAATTTAATAATAATAATAATAATTTTTTAATCAAATTATTCTTAAAAAAAAAACCACAGCAGCCAGAGGGATTTTTTTTTTTTTTTGAGAGGCTTTGCTATAGGGTACGTGTGCTCACCAGAAAGACAGAGACGAGAGACAGAAAGTGAGAAATCACCCCCAAGGGGAGATGGCCACGCAATCCCTTCTCCTCCATTCTTCTCTCGGGATCCTCTTGGGATCTTGGGTACACACGCACACGCACCCGGTGTGAATTTAAGCCACTGGGTCCAGGACTCAAACCATGGCTGACTACATGGGAGTCCAGTGACGTAGCCATCGCTAACTGCTGGTCCCCAGTTAGAAGTATATTTTAACATGTATACTTCTATAACTTAGAATTCATCAATAATATCCTTTGTTTTTAGAATAACATCTCACCTCCTTACGCTAATGGGATCTGAGTCTAGTCTACACCACCAACCTAAACTGTCCTGTTTTCTTCTCACTTTTTTTTTTTGGAGAGATTTTTGCTATAGGGCACGTGCGCTCGCCAGACAGAGAGAGACAGAGAGAGGGAAAGTGTGAAATCACCCAGGGGGATAACCACACTGCAACCCCTTCTTCTCCATTTCCTTCTAGGGATTTTGGGCACTTACACACATGCCAGTGTTTATTTTCAACGTGCTGGATCTAAGACTTGAACCATGGTTGGCCATATGAAAATCTAGCAACCACCACACCACCTGTTGGCCCCTTCCCCTCATTCATTACAGTCAGTCACATGGACCTCCTTTCTGTTCCTTGAACACGTTGAGGTCTTCAGGACTCCCAGGTCTGTATCTTTGCTGCTGCTTCTGCCTAGGATGCTCTTCCTATACCTCTTCCCAGGGTTGGCTCCTTATCCTTTAAATCTCATCCTGAATGTCACTGATCTGGGACGCCTTTCCTCAGCAGTCTATCTACCGCACCCTTTTCCTCTACTCTAACATAACCTCTGCTTGTTTTCTTCACCATGCCTACTAACACTATGGCAGTAACATATTTATTCAGTTTATTCGGTTTTATTTATTGTTTCCCCATAGCCAGAATGTTAAGCTTCATCATGGCAAGGATCCTGTCTGTCCTATATTTCTACACAATTGTTAGTCTCTGGGATGTAACATTTATTTGTCAATAATCTTTACATAAAGATATACATACAATAAAGTTTATTGCATCTTTTTTTTTTTTCATTTTGTAGGCTGGGGATACATGAATAGAATAGTATTTTCTACCCAATCATTTTCCCTAGCCAGTGTCAATGTTCCAAAGTTTAATTAACAGAGCAGGGAAGCCACCCTGAACTGAACTCAACACTTTGGAATTTTGCAGCATTTGTATGATAGCAAAAAAAAGTAAGGATACACGGAGATATTTACCACTAAGGTGTTCATTCCACACAAGAACTATGCGGTGAACAGAAATAAGATTACCTGTATGCCAGACAACTTCTGCTAGCCCCCCCATCCAGATTCACACTCACTCCTTTTCTCTCTCTGCATTCTCCCCCGGAGGCCAGCTTGCAAAGATCACACTGACCTCCAGTTGAGTCCAGACAATGGGCATTCCCATCAGGAGACCAAAGAGAGAAAGGAGAATAAAGTCAGAATATCCACCCTGGCTCCTTCCCTGAAAAGCTGGCTGTGACCTTTGAACAAAAATCATCCTGCCCTCCAGGTGCCGACTCTACTCATTATCTCCAAGTTCTGGAACTGCTTGCTGTTCTCATCTCTTCAGGTCTAGGAGTATTTAACAGCATGGCTGCTAAGAAGCCCCGTTGGCTGTAATATCACTGTGGTTCTCCTACATCTTAGCTTTTTAAGTCATTTCCTGCTAAACAAACCTTCCAATTATCCCCCTTTAAGTACATCATCTGTCTTCTATGAGGACTCCAATAAAATGTGTACATAGCAAAACTGATATGAAGGTTCTCTGTGATATAATGATTAGAAAATATAATATACTTGGTATGATTTAATTTTACTTTGGAAGATATATCTCTACATGACCATATGCGTAGTATACATTGTTACAGTTTGAATATGTCCCCCAAAGTTCATGTGTTGGAAATTTAATCCTCAGTGCAAAAATGCTGAGAGGTGAGACCTTAGGAAGTGATCAGGGGGACCAGCAGTTGGCATAATGGTTACATCACTAGATTCCCATGTAGTCAACCATGGTTTGAGTCCCGGACCCAAGGCTTAAAACTCGCACCGGGTGCATGTGTATGTGTGCCCAAGATTCTGAGAGGAGAATGGAGGAGAAGGGATTATGGAATGGCCGTCCTCTGTGGGGGGTGATTTCTTATTTTCTATCTCTCTGGCAAATGTACGCACAAACCACATAGTAAAAACATCTCTCTCTTAAAAAAAAAAAAGTGATTAAGTTGCGAGAGCTATGCTCCTATGAATTGATGTTAATAATGCAGAGGTGATTGAGTTATCACAGCAGTGGGCTTCTAATAAAAAGACAGGTTCAGCCCCATCCTCTGTCTTGTACACTTGCTTGCTCTTCTGCCTTCAGCCACAGAGTGACACAGCAAGGTCATGCTCTTGGCTTTCCCACCCTCTAAAACTGTGAGAAATAATTTTCTCTTTTTTATAAGCTACATGGTCTGTGGTATTCTGTTACAATAACACAAAGTGGACTAAGACATATATGCATTTCCACACACCAGAAAGTCTGTAGTCTGTGGGTATATTTACCAAAACGCCAGGGGTGTTCCTGTATATTCAAGTTTAAGGGGATTTATTTTCCTTTTCTCTTTATATATTTATTTAATATATGAATTTTTTAAACAAATATACACTAACATTGGTAAATAGGAAAAAAATACCTACATATTTTTAAAGAGTATTTTCTTCTCCACTCCCATTTCTATTAAGTCAGATGCAATAATCTGAATGAGTTTGGTCTTGACTTTTTCACTTCAATCTCTAAACTATACCAAAATGATTTTTCTAACAGTAAATGTGATGCTAGTTCCTTGTTCAAAATTCTCCGATGGCTAGGAGAATGATCTAAAGAAAAATATTTAAATATTCCTCTGCACAGCACACCAAGTCCTTCGAAACCCAACTCCTCTCTGTATCTGTCCTTGCTCTTGCCTGCTATCCGTGGCATGTATTGTTTGTCCAGCACTTTCACTCCCATGCCTATGGATGTGCTGACTGGACTGCCTCCTCTGTGCTTGCTCTCTTGGTCAAGTGCTTTCAATTCCGGCTTAAAGTCAAGCTTCCCGTCCCTCATGCCCTCAAGGCTAGAGATTTTTTTCCTCTGTTCCCATGACAGCTGATCTGTTTGTCTAAAACTGTTAGGTTGTAGTACTGCAGCTACTCTCACATACCACTTCCAACTAGACTCACCTTTAGGGAAAACAGAGACTATGTCTTCTTGTCTCTGTATATCTGATATCTAACAGAGCCCTGAAATACTGGTTACAAAATTACATTAAAGGGCCCAGCAGGTGGTGTGGTAGTAAAGGCACTGCGCTCCATATGGCCAATCACAGTTCAAGTCCCAAACCTGATGGCTTGTTGTTTCACTTTCTCTTTCTTTCTGTCTCTCCGGTCAAGTTAAATAATAATAATAATAATAACTGAAATTAAAATAAAATAATTACTAAAAACAAGTTACATTAAAAAAAATCAAATTATTTATTTATTATTTATTTATTCTGCAAGCAAGATAAAAAGAGAACATGATTTCCTACAATAAAATCTTGAAGCCACCATCCACCCCAGCTTCAGCCAGCTCCAGCTCATTGGTAAGTACCCAATGTACTCAGGGTGGCTCCAGACTTGAACCAGGAACCTCTCTATGTATGACTGCCTCACAGAATGTTATATTTTTACTATTGTGTCACTGTCTAGCCTCAAAAAGGTTACATTTTTAAAAGATGGAATTATATGGCCACTGTATAGACCAAATCTGCCTGCAGAAAAACTAACTCTAATAGTGAGTGACTCAAAATTGAACAATATTGCTTCTGAAGCCATAATTAAATTTTTATTAAAATTGCTACTATTTCTTAAAGGCATAACTTTCTTCTTTCAGGTTTTCCTATAGAGCACGTGCACTCCTGAGAAAGAGAGAGAACAAGAGAGAAGGAAAATGAGATATCCTCCTCCTCTGGGGGCCACACCACAATCCCTTCTTCTTCTCTCTCCTCTCAGTATTGTGCATGCACAAACACATGTGTAGCGTGATTCTCAAGCCACCGGGTCTGGAACTTGAACCACGAAGCTGGCCATGTGAGACCTCCATGCCACCTGCTTGCACCAAAGATATAACTTAAAGACATATGATGATCTGAGTCTGAACTAACTTGTAAATATCTCACTAAAGGCAGTGCATTTTTTTCATAGGAGTAAATGTTCATTTCTAATAAATATTACAACGAAAATGTATAAGAAGTAAATTCCAAAAGAATTTGAACTAGTAATGCTTACCAATACTAGCATGATCAATAATAGTGTCAATATCTTGTAGACCCCATTTCTTATAAGCTAATGGTGGTGGCTGTATGTTCTCATTGCCTGAAGCTGCAGCTGTCAAAGACAAAAATTAGACCATCTTAGTTATAACGGATAAAGTGAAGTTTTATAAAAAAATCATTAACAGTATAATTTATCATTCTGAAATTTCAACTAATAATAATTAGAAGTAATAAAAAAAAGAGGCATAAAGTGAGATTTATTCACACCAAGACAATGCACATTAAATGCAAACATTTAAAACACTAAGTTGGCTGCCACAAAATATTTTGAAACACTCCAGTAATTAGAGAAGATGATTAAAAATCCTACATTACTACCAAAATTAAAAATGAATTCCAACTATAATTAATGCCAAGTAGACAATCTCTCCCTCTTGAATAATAGGTAAAATCCTCATAATAGCAACCAGTGTTTTACTTAGTGAAAACCTGAAGCCTGGTATAGCTGCTAGAGCATACAAATAGCAAGGCCTCTAAATCTAAGTAACTGAGGCCAGACTTGATACGAAGATATGTTAAAGGAGGAGCCAGCAGGTGGAGTATGGCTAAGGTGCTGGATTCCCACATGGCTGACCATGGTTCCAGTCCCATACCCCGCTGCTTGGAAATCAGGCCAGGTCCATGTGTGTGCATGCCCAAAATTTTAAAAGGAGAATGAAGAAGAAGGGATTATGGTGTGGCCATCCTCCCTGGGGGGGGGGGATTTCTCACTTTTCCTCTCTCTGTATCTCCAGTGAGCTCACATGCCCTATGGTTAAAAACCTTAAAAAAATGTTTAAATGTTAAAGGAAATACCATTGCAAAAAAACTAATGAATTATTGGTTTTTAACCATAGCTTCTCAACCTAGTGAGTAATGAAAGGAGAAGCAACACTAATACCTCTTGCCATGGGTTTGTGTACAAGGATCCATTTATTACAGATTTCATGCTACATATTAGAATTCTAGATGTTTCTTCTTCTTCTTTTTTTTTTTTTAATTGCCAAAGGGTAAAATACACTCACTAGAGAGACAGAGAGAGAGAGAGAGAGAACATCTACCCAATGGAACATGGTCATACCTCAGTCCCTTTTCCCTTTCTCCATCCTGCCAGGATTTGGGGAATGTATGCACTCAGGTGTTTTTTAAGCTGCCAAGATTGGGATCAGAACCACAGCCAGTCAAGTGGACTCCATTCCCTTAACCACTAAGCTATGAGGCCTACAGATTGTGGTTTAGAGACTGAAGAAAAGGAGTTTAATAAAGGAAAAATATAATCCTCTAAACATTACAAATTTAATGGTAAAGGCCAATAAAAGACTATTTTTCTGTATGATGAAATAAATGTCACAATAATTTATGCCTAAGTAATCAGAATTCTTATTAGAGCAACTTACAATAAGAGGGCATTAAGTGGCTTAAGTCCTTATGTTCTATGAGTCAGAATGGCTTCATGGTCTTATATACAGCAAATAAACAGGAATTCAAACATGGTGAAAAATTAAATGGCTGACAATACCAATTTTAACAAATTGTCTTTTTCTAGTTTATTTTATTAGGAGAATTCTTACCAACAGAGAAAGGCCAGTCTCTTTGGACATATATATAAATGGTAACTATTTTATTTTATTATTATTTTTTCATTTTAAAAAATAAGTATTTATTGACCTTTATTTATTATTACTGTTTTTAAGTTTCTATATGTCACATGCATTCACCAGAGAGACACAAAGAAAGGGGAAATGAGAAAACAAGCCACGAGCTCCGGAACTTGACATGTGTTTGGCCATGTGGGAGGCCAGCGCCTTAACCACTACAACACCTCTTGGCCCCAGGGTGACTATTTAAATGTTCTCAATAAAGTTTATGACAAGTTAAATTTAAATAATTTAAAATAGATATTAAAATTCAAAAAAATTCCTACTTAATAAAAATAAGGTAACAGTAAAGAACCACATAACCACAACCTTGAAATTTTACCAATCACAACTTGCTAAAATAGACAAAGAAAAATGTCCTAATGTAATATAGGTTACTGTATTTTTCTCCTAGAAGAAATTGCTTATTTTGCATCTTATAGCTTAGTCTGGATTTATAAATAGTTATTATGAAACAGCAAACATACCATAATTAATCTATGTTTTCAGGGCGCTATCTCTACTATTTAGGAGTTAAGTTTTGTTTTAGGGCCACTAATGCTTCTCTACTCAATTCCAGAAGAAAAAGCAAAGTCAGTGTTATTATTGCTATGTTCATAGATTTAAACTTTCATTTCCCATATTTTTAGCACTCTAAAATTGAGATCTTAAAATCTATGGCATGTGTTTCATTGGTAACATTTTTTCTTCTAAGTGGTATGTATAAAATAATAGTGCATTTTACAATAAATAGAATTTTGAGTTTAATGAAATACAATATCCTCTTTCTAAGATAATAATGGCAACAGTGTGAACTATGGGCAGTAAAAGTAATTGATTATTGGGACCAGCAGTTAGCGTAATGGCTATGTCGCTGGACTCCCACGTAGTCGACCATGGTTCGAGTCCCGGACCCGGCAGCTTAAAACTCACACTGGGCATGTGTGCGTGTGTGCCCAAGATCCCAAGAGGAGAATGGAGGAAAAGGGATTGCGGCATGGCCATCCCCCCGGGGGGTGATTTCTCGCTTTCTGTCTCTCTGTCTCTCTCTGTCTGGCGAGCGCACGCGCCCTATAGCAAAAACCTCTCCAAAAAAAAAAGTAATTGATTATTTGAGCAAATTTCATCCTTAAGTCTGGAAATAACAGTTACTTGCCCATATGTACACTAAGTTTAAGCCTCTAGTGTTTCCTCTTCAGAAGTATTCCACATTAGCAATAAGCAGCTGATGATAATTCTCTGCTGGGTCTTGTCTATAGTGAGGAAAATTCCTCTTGCACTCAGTGGTATCTTTATGCTCAATGCAGACTAGAAGCAATGTAGATGCATAAGATTTTAGTGTATTGGCTCTACAGCTGCTGATCTGGTAAGCTATTTGATAGTTCAGCTGGATGCCACTAATTACTCCAATGCTGATTATCAATACAGTTGTAAGTCTCTCTCCTAACTAGTCAAGCATATCGGTAAATTAGTGAAGAAAATCACTGTTTCTGTGCTAGCCAAACTCTCCATTGGCAACAGGTACAGGGCATTGATGTTCAGGCCTTGCCTTTAACTTACTAAGCTATTTATCCAACAATGTACTCCCCTATCTACAGAAGGGGTTTTCCTTAACCCTAGTACAGGAAGCCATTTTATTTAGAAGACATAATTAATTCTGTAAGTAGATCACAAAAATAAAACAAATATCATAAGTTATGTATTTCTTGTTAAAAAAACTTACCTTTTGCTACCTGATTTCGACAAGCTCGAAGAGACTGAAAAAGGCTAAATCCATCAATAGTCACAATGGCAGCTGGATATAAGATACTCAACTCTTCATTCTATTTAAGAATAAAATAATAAGTTTCCATCAATGGATGTGCCAAAATAATCATATCTTTTTATTATGCCCGAATGTCACAAATAATGCAAAATAAAAAATACTGTGACTAAACTGTCCATCATCTAACACATAACACAACAGCAGACAGAGGAACAGTAAAATTAAATGGAAACTTAATTTTAGAATGCCTTTCAGCTAAAGATTTGTGCAGAATTTTTTCTGTCCATATAAATTAGCCTTTAATTAGGTATCTCTTCATATTACCAATTACTTCACTTGTTGGTATTAGTAAACATTAGTCCAATCTCTCTGGCTAGACTGCTTAGTTTCTCTTATAGGTCCATCCTCCCATAATGAAATTTAAATCCACAAACACATACAGAATATACATTTGATTACTTGAAATCCTTTCTGAGTAGTATAAAAAAAGGAAAGTACATTACATAGTTTTGACAATGTACACTGCAAACTAAAGAAAAGTATACTGGCTTCAGTGGCTCTGTAATTATTTTTTGACTATAAGACAACCAAAATTGTACATGGTACTTAGGAAGAAGTGAGAGGCTTAGACATTCAACAGTGTTATTTCTCAGTCAAAATCTTCAATGCATAGAAAACACTTCCCACTACAAACCAAAACTTAACCTGTTTTCTGAACAATAATGAACTTCAAAGTAATAATGTGAACAATAAGAGTACAACTGTTTTCTTTTATTATAAGTAATTTTTATGTCTAAGTTAAAAGTAAAAAGTTAAAAAGTTATACAACACCACATTGTGCCTTAAGTCTATAGATTTGGCTCATAACTATTTTACTAAATAAAGAAAAGCAAGACTGGTATTCTGTGATGCTTACAGGCGGTGGAGGAGGGTTGGGGGCAGAGAGAAAGCACATCCCAGTGAGGTGTGGTAATGTTACAATCCCTTCTCCATTTCTCTATCCTGTCAGGATATGGAGCTTGTATGCATATATGCCCGGCATGTTTTTTCAATCCTCCAGGGCTGATATTCACACTGTGAAGTTCGCCATGTGGGGCCTGGCTTCTTTAACCATTAGGCTACAGAGCCAGCCCAAGATTGGTATTCTTTACTTGGCTACATATAAATTATATTTTTATAAAATGACAGCACAGCTAACTTTTGACCACAAGACAAAGATAGCTTTGTATTTCTACCCAATAAAGAGAGAAACACCTTAAGAATAATGTCATTCTTATTTTGAATATAATCTTTCTTTTTTTTTTTTTTTAAGAATTATTTATTTTAATTTGACCAGACAAAGTGACAGAGAGAAAAATCAAGTGACCAGGTCTGGGCCTTGAACTGCAGTTAAGTCATGTGAGAGTCCAGCGCCTTAATCAGCACAACATCTGCCAGCCCCAAATGTAAGCTTTTACACTACCTGCTCAGTCACGCCAGGATGTCGGGGGATTTCATAGGTCCTGCATTTAAGCTGAAGTACTGGGTCCTCATTCAACAGTTGTGCTAGCAAGAGCACACCACTCTAGGAGGAAGCACAAAGAAGGGCCCTGCTTGTTTTCTTACCAAAGAAAAAACTTGAACAGGTATGGCCAGAGAGTACCAATTTCCCAACAGTTTTCCATGGATGCCAGATAGAGTCAACACTCCGTATCCACAGGTTCTGCACTCACAGATTGAACCAACCATAGATTAAAAACCTTAGGTTGTTAATGATTTGTACTATGTAGTTAGGCATATGATAGATTCATCTATATTGAATGTGTACAGACTTCTCTTCTTGTCATCATTACCAAAACGTAGTACAACTACTTACAAAGCATTTACATCATATTAGGTACTATGAGTAATTTACAGTTGATTTAAAGTATATGGGAGGATGTACACACGTTATATGCAAATATTATGACTTTATATATAAGAAAATTGAGTACCCACAGATTTTGGTATTTACGGAGGTTCTGGAATCAAATCCTCACATAGACCAAGGGGCAGTAATATGCCTTTTCAGAAGAATACAGTTTCTCCGCTCTGTATCTTCAACCAGAAATTTCCACCACTTGTCTTGGCCTCTAGCCCCATAAAGCATCAACTACACATTTCCATGAAGCAGGAAACGAAGTCACAAACCAGCATAATGGAAATGTTTAACAAGGTATTACATTCAAATTTTAGTGTTTTCTGTTAAACACTCAACTTACCTCAGTGTAAAAGCGTACATAACCTGAAGTAAAACCCACTACAATGCAGGTCCAGTCAGGACGTCCAGTAGAACTCCTGTTACAAACAAAATTTATAATTTTAATACTTTAAAAATCAAAGCAAAGATGACACATAACTATCATTTTTCCTTACCTCTTTTGGCTTGCCAGTGGGATACACAGAGCACTGGTTACACGTTCCCTAAAAAAAAAAGAAACCACATGCAGACTGGAAATATCTGTCAAGAGGTCATAAACTAAGCCTCAAAACTAAAATACTTATTGCTAACTTTTTTTCACAGTCTGAAACCTGTGACCATCACATTCGGAACCTGCCCAGTTATGTCATACGAGGTATTCGCGAAACAGAAATAATCTTTTTGCTTTTTGTTTTCATTTCCTTTTCTTTATTTCTTCCTTTCTTCCTACCTTCCTTCATTTCGTTCTTTTAAAGTTTTTGCTCTAGGGGGCATGTGTTTGCCAGAGAGAGAGACAGAGAGAGGGAAAGTGAGAAATCACTCACTGGGAGGATAGACATGCCACAATCCCTTCTCCTCCATTCTCCTCCTGAGATTTTGGGCATGCACGCACATGCCCAGCATGATTTTCGGGCCACCAAGTCTGAGACTCAAACCAAGGATGGCTGTGTAGGAGTCCAGCACCTTAAACACATGTTACCTGGTGGCCCCTTTGCTTGCTGATTGTAAAGTAATATATTTACTTTGCATTTCTTTCTGTCTTCTTCCTTTTTTAAAAATAAATTGTCAGAAAGCATGTGTTCTTGCCAGAAAAAGACAATGGGAAAGGAAAAGCATCCCCCCCACACATATTCACAATGGGTTATGGTCATGCCATAGTCTCTTCTCCTTCACTTCTTTATCCTATCGTGACCCTGGGCACACATGTATATGCCCCTGGCATGATTCTCAAGCCTTTAGTATTGAACTAGAACGATGGTCAGCCATGTGGGACCTGGCTTCCTTAACCACTAGGCCATGCGGCCAACCTGCTTTACATTTCTAACAGACCTTAAATGTCTTTATAATGCTTAAAGTGACTTAAGGAGAAATATTATAATTTATTTTGATAATAGCAGAAAACATTTTCATTGAGCACTTACAATTGAGCCAGACATTAGTGGGTACTCTTACCTGGTTGTTTTTTTTTTTTTTAAAAAAAAAGAATTATTTTATTTTACCTTATTTATTTATTTACATTAATTTGACCAGCGAGGGACAGAGAGAGAGAGAAAGAGAGAGAAAGGGAAAGTGGGAAAATAAGCCACCAGGTCCAGAACTCGAACTGTAGTCGGCCATGTGTGAGTCCAGTGCCCTTAACCACTATACTACCTGCTGGCCCCACCACCTCACCTGCCGGCCCCACTACCTGATTGTCTTTAATTTAAAATAAAAGCTCAAGAATCTTCTCATTCATTACAACTCATATAGTTTTCAGCCATAAAAATTTAATCAAAAGCAGTTTTTGGCTCAAGGTTCAAGGCTAGCAGCTCAATCACAGAAACACACTAGGTATCATGGTTTTAAATTTTCACCAGGTTCACAGGAAACCTGAATGTACCCACTTGAATTTCTGAAGTACTCATGAGTTTTAAGAATTAATGTAGCACCATCCCCTTTGAGTACAAGCCCAGTTCCATGAAAGCAGAAAAGATAATGCTTGCCTCTGACTTTTTTGAATGAATAAAATTAGTAATGAAGAACAGAGGAAGAAAAGATAAAGTGTAAAATGGTTTTACAGGATTTTTTTCTGAATCCTTCCTTAAATTTCCTTCAAAGAGAATTTTAAAAAGAATAATAATCATGTGATAAGTTAAATTGAAATTTGTTGACTGATTTATTCGCTACAACCTTTAAAGCTGGAATGCACATACATCTACTAAACATTCCAAATAATGAAACGTCTTAATAGACTCACTCATAAGTCAAACAATTTTATACATTTAGCACATAGAGAAATAAAAAATTAACTGGCACTTACCCTTCTTCAACATTTAAACAGCCACTCCAACCAACAGCAAATTGCATTTCTTCCTTTCCTTTATCACCATATTTCCATTTTGCTGGAAAAAAAAATTAAGATATCATATAAAAGGGACCAGCAGTTAGCGTAATGGCTATGTCACTGGACTCTCACATAGTCGACTCACATCGAGTCCCGGACCCGATGGCTTAAACACACCAGGCGCGTGTGCGTGCGTGCCCAAGATCCCGAGAGGAGAATGGAGGAGAAGGGATTGTAGCGTGGCCATCCCCCCTGGGGAGTGATTTCTCACTTTCAGTCTCTATGTCTCTCTCTGTCTGTCTGGCGAGCACATGCGCCCTGTAGGAAAAACCTCTCCAAAAAAAAAAAGATATCATATAAAATAACTTTGTAGTACACCAAAACAGTAATTTCAAATTTCACATTTTCCTTGTAGAATGTTGAATACAAAATTTAATACTTCTTTATTAGCTGATTTATCTTTTTATAAGTAAATAAAAGATAATGCTTAAAAAATTTTAAAAGATTTTTATAACACCACCACTTCAAGTCTTTAGTGTCTTCCTCCAATTAAACCCATATAATATTGTCACAAAGTTTTTCATTTCTATGCATCATCCTACCTATTTTATTTATAAGACTATTTTCATCTTCAGATAACACAGAACATTTTCCCATTAGATTTATTCTACTAGAAGGTAAATTCGCTTTAAAAGACCATTCCATGACCATTTTATATATATAGTCTTATTTAACCGCTGAGGTTTTTCATACTCTATTTCTATAATCTTAAACCTTAATTTAATCTTCAACAAAAATTATGCATTGAAAACTTATGCCTACGACACAAATCTACTGCGTTTTCCACTTAGAGTTGAGCCGTCGGCCATTTTTAGCTCTGACTGCCCCTTGCAAGTTCTGGGCAGTGCCCACTAGTGCCTCTGAGAGACAGCTCAAGTATCTGCAGCCAAGAAAGAAAAACAGAGGAAGCAAATAGAATAGAAAGAAAAAAAAGGAAGAGACAGAAAAATAAAAATGATAGGAAGTAAAAGATTAGATAATATGTAAAACAAACTACAGACGCTACCACATAATGTGTATAACAGAAAATACATTTTTTTCTTTCCACCTTATCCATTTTCTGTTCTATTTTATCCATTAAAATGAAAGTCACTTAAAATAATTTTACTTACGCACTAGAAATACAGCTTTTTGCTCCCGAGCTATAACCATAAGATCATTCGTTGGAGATAAGGATAAAACACAGTCTTGAAGCCAAGAAGATTTGTGTGTTTTCCAAGTATTTCCGTCTTCTTCCTGTGGATAAAATGACAATTACTCTATATGCAAAAACACGGAGTATTTCAACTTAGTTTGTCTGCCTTGAGAGGCAACAGAGAAGAAGAAAAGGAAAAAGAAGTCTTCCCAATTTTTTTGAAGAGTTTATAGTATTTCTTTTCAAAACATGTCAAAGATGACATGTTTTGAAAAGAAACAAACAATAAACAAAATATACATTATAAATAAATCTCAGTCTTGACTATTAATGCAAAAATTTTAAATGCAAACAAATAAAAGCTAACATGGAATTAAAAAAAAAATTCACATAGGAATCACTTCAAGATTTTTTCTCTTCTATAACCCTGTTCATCTTTCCAAGTAGTTGTAACAACTCTTTAACAAAACGCCTATCTTCACTTGGGATTTGACTATTCTTTTTTGCTTCTAATTGCCAGAGAGTGCATGCAATCATGAGAGAGAGGAAGTGAGGGAGGGAGGGAGGAAAAGGAAGAGAGAGAAAAACAGAGAGGAGAAAAGAGAAAGCACTCCCCAATAGGGGTTGGTCATGCAGCAACTCTTTCTCCATTTCTCCACCCAGCTGGGATACTGGCCATGCACGCCCATGTGCTCAGTGTGTGGATTTGAAATACAGTCAGTCATGTGGGATCAGGCTCCCTTAACCACTGTGCCACAAGACTAAACCTTTGATTCTATTCTCACAGTCAGTGAAAAGCTTTTTCTCAAAAAAGGACTATCTTATAAATACTTTATTTCTTGTAAAAGATTAATCTCTGAGCTGTAGTATCTTGAACATATGAGCATCATAATATTGAGATATATAAGTGCTCTTTTAAAAATACTTTTTCTTCTACTTTCTGTCTTTCCATTTGAAGTTACAGTTCCTTTGGCAATCCCATCTACTCTGATTTTTACCTTTCTTTTTTTTTTTTTTCGAGAAGTTTTTGCTATAGAGCATGTGCGGTCGTTAGATAGAGATAGACAGAAAGCGAAAAATCACCCCCCAGGGGGGATGGCCACACCGCTATCCCTTCTACTCCATTCTCCAATTGAGATCTTGGGCACACACACACACATGCTCAGCGTGACTTTTAAGCCACCGAGTCTGGGATGCGAACCGCGGTCGACTACATGGGAGTCCAGCGACATAGCTATTACGCTAGCTGCTGGTCCCTGATTTTTACATTTCAAAGTTATTGCAATTGAAAGTCTTACTACTCTCAGCTACTTATTTATTCTGTGATTGCATTTCTGCTAAACTAGACTAGAAGCTCTCTAGCTAGTAATTTTTACATCTTATATTACTCTAGCTCCACATGTAGCACAGTCCACTAACAGCATCTATTTACAAAGATCCTTGAATAACCAGTTATCTATTCTTGCACATAAAACTGTATGGCAGTGAGCAATCAATTCAAAGCTAATATATTCCATCTCTAGCAATGTTTTCCCACTATTAATATTAAGATTTGGCAGTTTAAGAGTCTAGCTAATATTCATGATGGGTACAAATTTGAAAGATACGAGAAGACAGAATTTCACTATATCACAGTCTACATAGATGGGTCTAGAACTCAACATCAAATGTTCAATTCTGTTCAAATTGTTTGCCACCGTCCCAACAAATGGACTATTAGCTATTCAAGAAGCAAATATGAACTTTGCCCCATAAAGACTAACCACGATTAAACCCTGAGAAATAGACAGATGTCATTGACTTAGAAGCAAATTCAGAGAAACTATTCCACAATCATTGGTTATAACCCTAACCCTGCTTAGCCATCTCATAGAAGCATGTTTCTCGTTACATGAAATCAGAATAAAAATTCATGTGAATTAGCATTATAGTTTAATGTACTGGTGACAGGATAAAGATGTAGAAACCCGAAATCCGTCACACTTCACTGCATGTGCTTTGCTATGGCTGCTCTACCTCTCCATCTTTTCTTGTGACTATGAGAGTGAAAGTATGTATCTTCCTAGTTTGTCACAGTAAAACCAGATGTGTGCAAGTGGGCGTTTCACATTATAGACTGCCATATTGCTATACTACACACACACCTCATATCATCACATCACTAGGGTTTGATGTGCCATGAAATTCTAGATCTAAAAATTTAGTCATGCTTCTGAGGAATGATTCTACTGGGTCATTGGAAAAGTCATGAAGTATTTTTTTGTTTTTCTTTGCAAAAATGCAACATGACTTTTCCAATGACCTAATCTGTCACAAAATGCAACACTGTGTGTGCTCTTAATACAAACTCCATACCTATCCTGATCCATAGCTACATAGGGGAACAGCTGTAATCCAACCTCCTCATCCCATGTAATTCCAAAGTAACTACTTTATGGCTAAGGCACAGTCAATGTATCAGATTTAATAAGAAAAAAGGCTTCTAGTGACCATTAACAAACCAAATAGTATCCTTAAAATTATAAATACAGGTAAAAATGTGTTATTTCTCCATAAACTTAGCTACTTTGCCATGAATTAGCTTTAAACATAAACATTGAATAGATGATTGACACATATTTATTAAATTCAAAAGTTCCTAAGTACAACAAGAAATGTAAGAGCTAAGAAACATAACAGCAAGCTCTGCCTTGAAAGTACTAAAACATTGGAAAGTTTATAGTTTAGCTCAGGGTCTCTCAACCTCAGCATTATGACATTTTAGGGTGGACAGTTCTTCATTGAAGGAGATTTTTTCTATACATTGTAGCATGCTTAGCAGCATCCCTGGCCTCAATTCACCAAATGCCCATAGTGTCATCAGCTGTGACAACCAAATGTAGCTCCAGGCATTGGAAAATATCCGCTGGGGAGCATAATGCCCAAAGCTGAGAACCACTGATTTATCTGATATTTCAAAACAATACTGCAATTTTAAAAAATCATCAAATTAACTTAACAGGTACAAGATAGTGTGCACAAAGGACCTAGAACTGTTTGTCTGTAATGAGACAAACGGTCTCTCACTCACACATCTCATAGTCCTCTCTTGGCCATCTGATGAACTATGCAGTCTTATAAAGAACTGGAGGGACCAGCAGTTAGTGTAATGGCTATGTCGCTGAACTCCCATGTAGTCGATCGCAGTTCAAGTCCTGGATCCAGTGGCTTAAACTCACGTCAGGCTTGTGTGCCCAAGATTCCGAGAGAAGAATAGAGAAGAAGGGATTGCGGTGTGGCCATTCTCCCTGGGGGGTGATTTCTCGCTTTCTGTCTCTCTGTCTCCTTCTGTCTCTCTGGTGAGCACACACGCCCTGTAACAAAAACTTCTCCAAAAAAAAAAAAAAAAGACATACCAGTCCTTATAAAGTGTTTAATGAAGGAAATGACTTCATCATGAGGCTCAGGTTGAGAGGAAAGAATTTGCATTTGAACACAATTTTACTTACGCACTAGAAATACAGCTTTTTGCTCCCGAGCTATAACCATAAGATCATTCGTTGGAGATAAGGATAAAACACAGTCTTGAAGCCAAGAAGATTTGTGTGTTTTCCAAGTATTTCCATCTTCTTCCTGTGGATAAAATGACAATTACTCTATATGCAAAAACACGGAGTATTTCAACTTAGTTTGTCTGCCTTGAGAGGCAACAGAGAAGAAGAAAAGGAAAAAGAAGTCTTCCCAATTTTTTTGAAGAGCTT